TTCTCCTGTCTCACTCCCAAGTAGTAACAGGCACATGCCACCACACCTACCTAATTTTTGTATTTTTGGTAGAGATGGGGTTTCACCATGTTGGCCAGGCTAATCTCGAACTCCTGGCCTCAAGTGATCTGCCCATCTTGGCCTCCCAAAGTGCTGGGATTACAGGCATGAGCCACCGTGCACAGCCTAAAAGACCCTTTTACCTGTACATCATTTGCATCTCACAACAATGCATCTGCCAAAGTCAGGGCAACTTTTGGCCACCAGAGTCCCAGCATTAGCAAAGTTGCCTGGGCACTTAATCACCATTTGCCACAAATTTTCTGAGGAATATGCTCTCAATGCATGCCCTAAAAGTTCAACCTTTGAAACATAGCAATACTACCTATTTGTAAGACAGGCTCTAGTATACAACTCTGCCACAAATGTTTACTTTCTCATCTATGTGGTATTTTAAGTACTTCAGTAGTATTTTATATAAAAATAATGTGTATTTTATGGTGTTTCATATATAACATGTCATGTCTTCTAGAAATCCTAAAAACCAACATAAGCCTGAGTAGTAAATTAATGGAGAAAACTGCTATTGGAAGAAATAAACAGTTTCAGAGTATTTAAAATAAGTTATTACATTCTTATGCTTTTTTCCTAAGCGTCAGTACAGAAATTTCAAATCAAGAAAAACATTCTGCTGTACATTCTGGCAATCTAGATATTATTTTTCTATTTAAAGAAAGATTTTTTTTTTTTTTTAAAAAAGAACTTATTAACACAGTATGAAGGGAGTTACTCTGTGGGAAAATGCCACTTTTGCTCAGAGATCTCCATATACTTGCTTGTCATGTTATGTTCCAATGAGGTACAGAACAGGTAGTGGAATTTATTTGGCAGCTTGGACTATAATTTGTAAGAAGTGAAAATAAACGTATTATGGAAAAATAAAATCTAGCCAGGCATGGTGGCAGGTGCCTGTAAACCCAGCTACTTGTGAGGCTGAGGCAGGAGAATTGCTTGAACCCGGGAGGCAGAGGTTGCAGTGAGCTGATATTGCGTCACTGCATTCCAGCCTGAATGACACAACGAGACTCTGTCTCAAAATAAATAAATAAATAAATAGACAAACCACTGATTAATGTTAAATAAGTTATGCTAACTATATTGTTTCCCAAGTGAATTCTGATGGTAAGGAATGCTATCGTATAACAATATAATACCCCAGCCACCCAGAGCCATCTTTTGTGGCTCTCAGCAGATACCAAGATGTACTACATAGGAAGCACAGTTATTGCCCTATATGAAATCTACCTAAAATATAATAGAAGTATCTCAAATATATATACACTTATTATAGATTTAACACTTATGAATTGTTAACCTTTCTCTTAACCTGTACTTTCAACTGGGAGTTTCTCTTAGAATTCTGTTTCATGGCTGGGCGCGGTGGCTCATGCCTATAATCCCAGAACTTTGGGAGGCCAAGGTGGGTGGATCACCCGAGGTCGGGAGTTCGAGACCAGCCTGACCAACACGGAGAAACCCCATATCTACTAAAAATATAAAACTAGCTGGGCATGGTGGCGCATGCCTACTGTAATCCCAGCTACTTGGCAGGCTAAAGCAGGAGAATCACTTGAACCCAGGAGGCGGAGGTTACAGTGAGTCAAGATCACACCATTGCACTCCAGCCTGGGCAACAAAAGCGAAACTCCATCTCAAAAAAAAAAAAAAAAATTGTGTTTCATTTAATTACTACTACCTATGAATTTGTTTTGATTTGATCCATAATAGCTGCCTTTTAAGTGGTACTAGTGTTCTAGGACTCATCTACGTTAGCTCTCTTTTTTGTTTTTTTAAATTACAGAACTCTCTAGGCTTCTCATGCTTGTCAACTCTATAGATAACATTTTACCAATCACATTATTTCTTTTAAAACGGAGAAATTAAAATACATGAAATATCTTAAGTGGAATCTAATAAAAGTTGAGCAGGATGGATTACTTTCTGACTGTCATATGTCACATTTCTCAAGATTACACTAAAAAACTAGCAACAGGCCAGGTGTGTGGCTAAAGCACTTTGGAAGGCCGAGGCTGTCAGATCACCTGAGGTCAGGAGTTCGAGACCAGCCTGGCCAACATGGTGAAACCCCACCTCTACTAATAATACAAAAATGAGCCAGGCATGGTGGCATGTGCCTGTAATCCCAGCTACTCAGGGGGCTGAGGCAGAAGAATCACTTGAACCCGGGAGGTGGAGGTTGCAGTGCCCACTGCACTGTAGCCTGGGCGACAGAGTGAAGCTGTGTCTCAAAAAAAACAAACCAGCAACAGTACTGACTTGCCCAGTTATATACCATAATCACTAAGTGATCACTTCAATTAAATTCTCAAGAATGAGGGCTGCTTTATTTATTTATCTTTTTAAGTCTGCTAAGATGAAAACAAATCCTTTCTACATCATGTGAAACAAAATTGGCTGGTCCCATATGGTTTAATAGTTCTAGAGTTCTGGAGAAATTATGCTTAACTGCAGAAAGGGAGAAATTATGCTCAACTGCAGAAAAAAAAAAAAAAAAAAAAAAAAACTTTCATGAATAGTTTTTCAAATCTCCCTATAGGTGAAGATAAGCAAGCCAAAAATGAACAAAACTACTATTTTTTAGTGAACTTTATAGTTTCCAGACCACCTTTTCCTATGCTTTGGGCACCCACTCCCCACTTTAAGCAGTTGATACTATCCAGTTTTTCTTTTTTTTTTCGAGACAGAGTTTCGCTCTTGTTGCCCAGGCTGGAGTGCAATGGCGTGATCTCGGCTCACCGCAACCTCCGCCTCCCAGGTTCAAGCAATTCTCCTGCCTCACCCTCCCTACTAGCTGGGATTACAGGCATGTGCCACCACGCCTGGCTAACTTTGTATTTTTTTAGTAGAGACGGGGTTTCTCCATGTTGGTCAGGCTGGTCTCAAACTCCCGACCTCAGGTGATCTGCCCACCTCGGCCTCCCAAAGTGCTAGGATTACACGCGTGAGCCACCATGCCCGGCCGATACTACCCAGTTTTTCTTGCCAACCTCCCCACATTACAAGAGAAAGGGATCTAATCCCAATTATTTATATTATTAACATTTATATATATAATGTGATTTCTAATGCTGCATTTTAAAACTTTTATTGAAACATCTTGTCCTTGTTTAAAATTTTAAAAATATAACCAAATGAACAAAAAGTCTGAATTAAAACCACTGTTTCTTTCCCTATGCACCATGGTGTCCTGATGGCCAAGAATAATACATGAGAAGTCACTCTATAGTTGATAGAGACTATTCCTGGGAGCTGCTAAAGACATGGCCCATATCCCCTCTCACAGGCTTCCTGCAAAAGCACAGTACTATCCTGACACCAGGACACCTCTGTTCTTTTCTGCTCTTTTCATTTGCTCTCCATTTCTGAACACAGGTCCTTACTCTCCTGTCTAACATTGGTTAGACAATAATCTTTTTTTTTTTTTTTTTTTTTTTTGAGACGGAGTCTCGCTCTGTCGCCCAGGCTGGAGTGCAGTGGCGCGATCTCGGCTCACTGCAAGCTCCGCCTCCCGGGTTCACGCCATTCTCCTGCCTCAGCCTCCCGAGTAGCTGGGACTACAGGCGCCCACAACCGCGCCCGGCTAATTTTTTGTATTTTTAGTAGAGACGGGGTTTCACCGTGGTCTCGATCTCCTGACCTTGTGATCCGCCCGCCTCGGCCTCCCAAAGTGCTGGGATTACAGGCGTGAGCCACCGCGCCCGGCCGGTTAGACAATAATCTTGATTAAATTCCTGGGAAGAAAAGTGTATCTCCTCACCTGTCCCAAGACTCCTAGGGTTTGTATATGTGCATATTCATAATCAGGCATAATTTGTACTTTAATATCTTGGAGTATGATTCTATAACATGATTTAATCTCTACTAGTTTAACATATTAAATTTTCTTTATTAGAAGTATTTTTCTGTATCAAACTGACCATTCCTCATCTTCTATCTATTATGAGGTTTTCATCTTTAAGTCAGGGGTCCTTAATTTCTTGAGGTCATAAATAATTTTGAGAACAGAGTGAAAGCTATGAACTTTCTCTGTAGAAAGGTATAAACATTCTCAAAATTTCATTTATTCAGTTAAAAAATTCTCTGAGGTCTATCCATGAGCCCCAGCACTAAGAACCTCTGTTTCAAGTGAATGTAAGAGCCTGTTAAAGTAATCTTGCTAAAAGTAGGCCATTTCTTCCCTTTCTATGATCCTTTATGATTTGATTCATTTTTTTCCTGATTATAAACTAAAATTTCCTCTATTTATTGATTCAAAAAGAAAAGCAGGGTCACCTATACTAGAATGCCCATACCACACAATGTTTTCTTCCTCATCTCAGTTCTTTTTGGGGTATGATTTGCTAGGAAGATCTACATACATCCAATGCACATATATCGAATGCACATATAGTCATATATCCAACAGCCATGTATTCCTAGCTTGGGCATTAACATTGTCCTTCATTCATAGATTACAATGTAAAAACTTACTGAAGGTTTGCTATGTTTCACATATGTGGAAATAAAACTGTTCCTAGAGCAATTCTTCCAGGGCCTAGCACATTGCCTTATACAGAGTAAGTGCTCAATAACTTAAGTAAAAGGGAAACCTGTGGAGTTGACTGAGAAAAGAGACACAAAGAATTACACTCTTACCTTACTCAGTGTAAGCCACACACCAGAATCAACTGTAATTTTATAGTCATCCCTCACACATCAAAAAGCCCAACTATTAATTATGTAATTTTAAATTTCAGAATTTAATTTTCATTCAAATTCTTCCAACTCTGTACTTACATTTGTACTAATAAAACTCTGATGGTTTACACATATAAAAATATGCTACCTATGTACTATCAATGGTATCAATTTGAGTTGTTTTCCTCTAGAATTGAGGGCTTTTGTGGCAACTGTGATGTTCCTTGGGACCAATTCCTCACCTTTGTAACGTAGTTGCCAGGGGTTGAGGTCTTTCACATGGAAACACGGTAAGGCTAAAAGGCCTATAAAAGTGATCAAAACCCAACAGGCCTTATCAGCCTATGCTTCATACAAATACCTATCATATTTATATAAACTCCTTAAAAAAACTACATTAAAAAAACAAGAAGCTAGCATACATATTCAATAAATGTTTTTGCTATTGTTTATGCAAATGACATATTAAAATGTTAAAAATTTAAAAGTGTAAGTCATAGCTACATTACCAATTTAATCATTCAGAAAATCTTATGTGGATTAATGATTTAAAAAGAAATTCAATTTCCGTCACAGGTGTGTGAAGCAGAGCAATTCTATCTTGAATACAGGCTGGGTAAAATGAGGCTGAGACCTACTCGGCTGCATTCCCAGATAGTTAAGGCATTCGAAGTCACAGGAGGAGACACGAGGTCAGCACAAAATACAGGTCATAAAGACCTTGCTAATAAAACAGGTTGCAGTAAAGAAACCAGCTAAAAACCACCAAAAGCAAGATGGCCACGAGAGTGACCTTTGGTCATCCTCACTGCTATGCTCCCACCAGTGCCATCACAGTTTACAAATGCCATGGCAACATCAGGAAGTTACCCTATATAGTCTAAAAAGGAGAGGCATGAAGAATCCACCCCTTATTTAGCATATCATCAAGAAACAACCATAAAAATGGGCAATCAGCAGCCCCTGGGGCTGTTCTGTCTATGGAGTGGCCATTCTTTTATTCCTTTACTTTTGTAACATACTTGCTTTCACTTTACAGACTCGCCCTGAATTCTTTCTTGCTCAAGATCCAAGAACATTCTGGGGTTCTGGATGAGGACTCCTTTTCTGTAATATCTCTACTAATATATACCTTCTTAAGCCAAGTGAGTATATATTTATCCTTGATGTTTGCCCTTTAAGTTAACTTTTACTCAAGTGTCAGGCAACCGAATAAACATAGTGCCTCTAGAATATCACTTTTAGAGATCTCTATAACTGAGTGAAATACCTACTTCAAATGATATTTTAATATTAAAAATGCAGCATAAGAATGAACTTGAGCCAACTATTTCTACTGTATGATTAAAAACTAAATATTAAGACATTCATACTGTCCTGAGGTAGTATTGTTGGATATATACTGAGTACTAATATAGAATTCTTACCTATAATGTACATGTGTGACTGTTGGTTTCCTGTATCCAAGGATCCAGGTTTGAATATCTATAGGTTCAGCTTTGGGATAAGCTATCGTCGTATCTATTATCCACTGGAGGCCTTTTGATTTGCTGTCTGAGAACAAAGAAAAAAAGACTTAATATAAATCAACTTTTATATTATCTATAGCAAATAACATAGATTACTTGACCAGTGTAAGGTATATCAATATACCTTCTGCTTTAAGAAAAATTCTGAGGATGAACTTTGGTGCTACTGTTCTATAATGTTCTTTAGAAGAAATTAAGCATTACTTATTGTGTTATAAAATGGATGAACCTCAAAACAAAGAACACTATTATCTACTGGACATGCACCATTCAAGTATCTGATACAATTATGCACTATGAAGATCTAATTTATATTTAACACTCCTATAAAAAACTGACCTATGAAAAGGTCAGAAGCTAAACTCACATCACAGAAAAAACAGACTTCAAAACAAAACAAAATCATTCACTAAATATAACATAACATAATATAATATAATATAATATAATATAAACACCAAGATTTGTGATACTGAGGATAGGCATTAATAAATATTGGAACATGGCAACAAAATTAAGCATTCTTTATGGACACACTTTGTTACTGCTCTTGAGGCTGGGCGTAGTGGCTCACGCCTATAATCCCAGTACTTTGGAAGGCAGAGGTGGGCAGATCACCTGAGGTCATGGTGAAACCCTATCTCTACTAAAAATACAAAAAATTAGCTGGGTATGGTGGCGCGTGACTGTAATCCCAGCTGCTTGGGAGGCTGAGGCAGGGTAATCGCTTGAACCCAGGAGGTGGAGGTTGCAGTGAGCCAAGATCACTGCCACTGCACTCTGGCCTGGGCACAAGAGCAAAACTCCGTCTCAAAAAAAAAAAAAAAAAAGGCCGGGCGCAGTAGCTCATGCCTGTAATCCCAGCACTTCGGGAGGCTAAAACAGGCAGATCACCTAAGATAGGAAGTTCGAAACCCTGTCTCTACTAAAAATACAAAATTAGCCAGGTGTGGTGGTGCACCCCTGTAATCCCAGCTACTTGGGAGGCTGAGGCAGGAGAATCGCTTGAACCCAAGAGGTGGAGGTTGTAGTGAGCTGAGATTGCACCATTGCACTCCAGCCTGAGCAACAAGAGTGAAACTCCGTCTCAAAAAAATAAAATACACAAAAAATAAAAAAAATAAATAAATAAAAAGCAAAATATCTCCCTCAGTTTTAGCAAGAGTTATATGTACACATAAAGCAATAAAGCTTCCTGCCTTTTGGAACGTACAACTGGTGACTACTGTTGTGGAGAGGGGATGGTAAGTTCTGCTAAGTTTGATCCTTTGCACATTGTTTTTATCCCAGCATGGGGTACAAAGGTGAGCGAGAACTGAGAGCAGAATCATCACAGAGGATACTGATGGCCAGACTTTAAGAGTATAATGGTCCATTCTTTATTTGAAGTATGTAAGAAATTCCTAAAAAAAGAAAACTCATTTTCAAGCATAAGTCCAAATGTGCATTAGGAATCAATGATATATTACTTTCGTATGTCAAATAATTTAAAACTGGCCTTAAATTCTGTAAAGATTTTAGAACAACATTGTGAAGGAGAAAAATATACTTGTAAAACAAGTAAAAAAAATAATTTAAAAATAACATATTGCTAAATGAACTGAGTTTATGTAAAGAAACACACTTTAACAAGCTACCAATGATATGCATGCTGAAATGTTTAGGAGTAAAGCATACTAATGAAGCTTATTTTTAGACACATTAAAAAATGAAACAACCAAGATGGATTAATGGATGGATAGAATGATGAAGAGATAATCTAGTCAGCTCACAGATATCCACTGCAAAATTCTTTAAACTCTTATGTATGTTTGAAAATTTTTATAATTAAATGATGAGAAAAAACACCAAAATTCAGTTTAATATCTGTTAAATCACGTGGTAACAAAAATACTAATCTTTTTAATCAGACAGAACTTAATTTTGGTATATGTGTATGGATCACATATTAAAACAAACACAAAGGCATGGTTTGTGTATACATGGAATAAAATGCTAATTAACATAAACACAAAAGAAAATAAAATGTAAAATATCAAAACATGGAAAATAATAATAAAATACAGGTAAAACTAGTTTTCAAGTATACTTACGGTTTTTCTTCTAAACAGGTAGAATGAAAAACTTTAAGGTAGGATTAAAAAATAAACTACTCTGCTTTAGTTACAAACGTAAACTAGTTCTCTCTAAAAGAAAACAACCATTTTTCTTCACTATTATGCAATCAGTATAACAGTTGCCCCTACATTTGAGATCTAGACCACCACAGGATATTGCCTGGGTGGAACTATTTTAAAACAGCAGTCTTTATTAGTGCAACTAATCCTGTTTGGAAGACATTTGCCTTCAAGCTTTGGCTTGGCTGCCATTGCCACAGTGTCTCTCCAGCAGTGAAACTATTCTGAACGTTCCTTTTCTATTAAAAGACTCTTCCAATTTGTCTTTTTAATAGATGATGAAAGATTAAGAGAGCTGACTGCCAAGCAGCTGCTTGGGAAAAACAAATAAAAGGAAAACGCAGTTAAATCTGAGTTAAATCACAGACATTATTTCTATGTCTGGTCCTAATTGTCATTTAAAAACATACTGTTTCTGAGGGCCAATCATTTCAATTATTATTTTATTTTATTTAAAGAATATGAAAAGAAATAGCAAAATACTGCAAAGGAAACAGGCCTAGTGAATGCCTTTCAGCTTTCTAACTTATAACCAGACTTTCACAGCAGTATCTTAGGTAACTTGTTCAAAACAGTCTCCACGCTATGGGCACAAATATCTTCTGCAAAACTTTATAATTTACCAGGCTATCTGAAAGATAGTTGCATCTTTGAGTATGATTTGCTTTTTGATGGTGAGAAGGTAATACACACACATTATTTTTAAAAACGGAAAATTCAGAAAAGCATTAATAGAGAAAAATAATCCATAATGTTACAACTCAGAAAAGCAATCACTGCTAACATTTTGGTGTCTTTCCTTTCACGTATTTCCTACTGCCTTGTTGTTTACAGACTTGAATTCAAATTGTTTTCAGAAGAGTTGCATGTTTGCCCACCCTATTAACAGAAGAGCATAAATATTTTTCCAAGCCAATACAAACACTCCATAAACATCATTTGTAACAGCTGTGTTGTATTTCGTTGTATGGATATTTGATAATTACTAATCCATTCTCACTTCTAGCTAATTCCAATGTTTTGGCTATTATAAATAATCTGTAATAAACTTCTTTGCCTGCATTTCAGATTATTTCCTTTTGATAAATATTTGCAGTGGAATAACTGAGTCATTTATTAACACTTAATGCTCTTAATACTATCAAATTGCATTAAATTAGTTCTCTGTATTAAAAACAAACAAGGCTGGACACAGTGGCTTACACCTATACTCCTATACTCCCAGCACTCTGGGAGGCCAACGCAGGAGTATCACTTCAGGTTAGGGGTCTGACACTAGTCTGGTCAACATAGTGAGACCCCCATCTCTACAAAACAACTAAAGAATTAGCCAGGCATGGTGGCATGTGCCTACAACCCCAGCTACTCAGGAGGTTGAGGTGGGAAGATCGCTTGAGCCCAGGAATTCAAGACTATGGTGAGCTATGATCATACCACTGCACTCCAGCCTGGACAACAGAGCAAGACTGTCTCCCAAGAAAATCCAGGAAAAAAACAAAAACAAACAAACAAACAAACAAAAAGAAGACCAAAAAGCTTTCTCAATTTGGTAAATGAAAATATTATTTGATAAATGAAAAGATTAGTTTTTCAAACATGTCATTTCTATAGTTATATCTTTTAGTCTAGCAATTCTACTTCTAGGAATCTGTACTACAGAAATAGTTCCACCAATATGTAAAGACATTTGTAAGAATGTTTACTGCAGCCGTGGGAATGGCTCCATATAAGTAAGACAGGAGAAAGACATCTTTGACTTTATGCATTTCTGTATTATTTGAGTAAATTACTAAAAGCACAGACTATTTTTGTAAATGGAAACATTTTTTAAAAATTACAGTTTCATCTTCTCCCTAAGTATTATTTTTAACACAAATTATAAATACAAAAAAGAACAATGATCATCTTCTGTAACTCCAGAAAATCCTTTAACTCCAACAAGGTAAAAAATGCTAAAAACCATCATACCTAATTCTTTAGCATCTCCTCCTGCTGGACTTCCATTTTTCTGTTGTGCTACAAGTGCATTCAAAATAATTTTTGTTGCCCCAGACCTTGGCAGAGTAACATTTGTAAGAAATGGCAAGTTATTTTTCTTGGCAAATGCCTGACTTGTTTCTCGCCGCTTCCTGAGGAAGCCCCCTTCTGGAAACAAAACAATCCATTTTCGATCTCTGCTCCTGTAATTATTTTCTAAGTGCTTCTTGAGAAGCAGCAGCTGTTGGTCACGATAAGATCTTCCCTAGAAGGCACACACACATGTAATAAGTACAGGTATATCCAAAATTAATGCCATAAAATTAAATAGAAATTACAGCTTCTAAATTAAAATCCAGTCATAGAATAGAATAGTGATTTCCCTCCCCTGGCACCTTACTTCCCTTTTTGACCACAGTGGTAAAGAGAGGTTATTAGCACTTATATAAATAAATCTGTCTTTCTGAAGGAAAAGGAAATTGTTCTGATTGCCCTTGAAAGTTCAGCCATTCATCAATTCAGCGACTATTTACTGAGTGCCTGCTATGTGCCATGCACTGTCCTAGGCACTAGACATAGAGGAGGAAATAAGAGACTTTCATGGAGCTTACACTCTAGTTTGGGAAGATGGTATATGTGGAGTGGAAATTCAACTAGTAATATGTGTTAGGAAGAAAACAGCAAAAGGATAGAAAGGGTCAAGAGGGTCAGAGAAACCCGCTATGAGGAGGTAAAAATGTGAGGGAATAAGTCATGTGAAGATGCAAGGCAGAATATTCCAGGTGACAAGAACGAAAAGGACAAAGGTCATTTATTTGATGGGAATGAGTATGGCATGTTCAAAGAACAGCACCAAGGCCAGTGTGGCTGAAATGTGATAAACAAGGAAGTCAGTGGTAGGAAAATAAGCTACAGAGGGAGGTGGAGACCAAATGAGAAGAGTCTTATGCATGGTAAGTAGTTTTGGAGGGGACATCTTTGGATAGTTTTGAACAAGGAAGTGTTATAATCTTATTTATGTTTAAAAGTCTGACCAGCTTGGGCAACATGGTGAAACCCCGTCTATACAAAAAATACAAAAATTAGCCGGGTGTGGTGGCACATTTAGTGGTCCCAGCTACTCAGGAGGCTGAGGCGGGAGGATCATTTGTGCCCACAAGTTCGAGGATGCAGTGAACCCCGATGGTACCACTGCACTCCAGCCTGAGGTGACAGAGTGAGATCCTGTTTCAAAAAATAAATAAATAAATAAATAAATAAAATAAATAAAATCTGCTGGCTCCTGTGACCAAAAGACCACAGGAGATAATAAGTTAGAAGACTTGCAGTATTGCACACAAGGGAATGTGATGAGATTCAATTATATTGCATTGATGATAAGTAGTTACATTCGGGAAAAAATGTGAAAGAAAAGCTAAAAAGACATTCTAATGGACTGTATCTTAGTTGAGAGGGAAAGAGAGAAAAGAAGATGACCTGAAGTCTAAAAAGAAGAATCTAGAAAAATTTGTAGGAAGGCCCAAAGCTTACAACAAAGGTTCTTTCTTTCAGTGTGATCAATTTGTCAGTATTTTCCAGCCAACAAAATTACAGAAGCTCCTCAAAATAATTAGTATGCTTTCAGTCTTTAGATCAAATGTATCCCAAATGGAAAACATGTAAGACATTTTCTTAGTTTACTGAGGTGAACTGATTATGATTAAGATAGCTATTAAGTTCTCAAGATTATACACAAAATATTTTTACTATTCTTGGAAAAGCTTGTCAAAATGGTCTAGTAGTAAAGTCTCAAGAGAATTTTTCTTTTAAACATTAATGCTTTTTCCCTTCCTTCCCCTCATGTTATAGATTTTTATTACTAGTCTATCAGAGAAAAAAATGTTGCTCTTTAGAAATAAATTTGTAAACTTTCTAGATAATTCGAAATATAATCTTTATGTATGCAAAACTTCACATAGTAATCACAAGAAAATATTTTGGAGTACCTAATTTTCGACTTTTATCTAAAAGTACACTGATAATCTAGTATAATTTAGCCTCTTTTTTTTTTTTTTTTGAGATGGAATCTTGCTGTGTTGCCCAGGCTGGAGTGCAGTGACACAATCTCGGCCCACTGCAACCTCCGCCTCCCAGGTTCAAGTGATTCTGCTGCCTCAGCCTCCAAAGTACCTGAGACTACAGGTGTGTGCCACCATCCTAGCTAATTTTTGTATTTTTAGTAGAGACAGGGCTTTGCCATGTTGGCCAGGCTGGTCTCAAACTCCTGGCCTCAAGCAATCTGCCCACCTCAGCCTCCCAAAGTGCTGGGATTACAGGCATGAGCCACAGAGCCCAGCCCCTCTTCTTGATGCCTGAGGATCATCATTAGGGTCAACTGTTACACTACACTATAAATTCAATTATTTCCTAAAGCTGGAAACGAGGTAAGGTGCTCAGCTAGCTTTTCAGATCCCTGAGACTGCTAAGATTTCTAATTGTTGGTTCTGCTGCCTTCTCTGAGCTATTACACTAGGATCATTGTTAAGTTGTCCTGATCAGTTTATTTTGTCTTGACCTTGTGTCCACTCCCAATTGCCACTTCTTGTGGTTCCAGGCTATGCTTATATTTGTTTCTCTGCTCAGAAGAACAAAGGGTGTTTCCAAAAAAAAAAATGATATAATGTCCAGTACATAAAACTGTCTGGAGTAAAGTATAGGTGTCTTGTGACACCTATTTTCACAGAACTTAGAAGTTTTTCTACTCACTTCCAGATTATTTCTGAATTTGCGGTTCTTGGAAAAGGCTTAATTAGATTCACCAGTTATTTATTAAGTAATTATTATGTGCGAAGCACGGCACAATCCAGGTTGTTAAATATGTAAACACCAAATAAGTGTGGTATTGTCATACATAAAAGCGTTTACATATCATATTTCAGTCATCCATTCTGGTGAAAATAAAGCATGTAATACTAGTAACAAGTCAAGAAAATAATGTAGTGCTGATAAGAGGCTATCATTCTTCTTCCTACCTAAACTATTCCTAATGCTTGGGACTTCCCAATACACCTTCCTCCATCAAATCCATACTTATTCTTTAAAACTTGTGCCAAGTATCATCTTCTCCTCTGAAGTTTTTCTGGATTCACATAAAACTGATAACTTATTTTTCCCACTATGAATTCCCAAAACATCTCCCATTATTATTATTACATTAACTTATTTATTATTTATTAATTTATTTAATAATCTGCCTACTCGTAATTTAGATATCTACTATATTATACAACAGTGCCTTATAAATAAAAATAATAGTGATACAATAGTAGTAATCAAGATAAAAATGATGATGAAGGTAGCAGGCATTGTTCCGAGTGCTTTATAGGTATTACTTCATTTAATCCCCACAACCACCATTGTGGGGGATATTACATATTATTCAAGTTTGGAAAACAAAGGAACTAGAGTGTTTAAATAATTTGCCCAATTCACATAGCTAAGAAACTGAATAGTGGGCAATGTTTACTAAACTAAATTGTACCCTCTAAATGGGAGAAAAGTAGAGGTTAGAATGTTTGCATTTTAAGTATTTTAGTACTTATCCATACTCAAATTGAGATTGAAATAAATGGTTAGGGAACAAAGATTCAGAGAAAGAGCTCCCTGAGCTGGGCACGGTGGCTCACACCTGTAATCCCAGCACTCTGGGATCCCAGGCGGGTGGATCACTTGTGGTCAGAAGTTCCAGACCAGCCTAACCAACACAGTGAAACCCCATCTCTACGAAAAATACAAAAATTAGCTGGGCGTAGTGGCATGCCTATAGTCCCAGCTACTCCAGAGGCTGAGGCATGAGAATCACTTGAATCCAGGAAGTGGAGGGTTACAATGAGCCAAGATGGTGCCACTGCATTCTAGCCTGGGTGACAGAGCAAGACTGTCTCCAAAAAAAAAAAAACAAAACAGAGCTCCCTGAAACCGGTTAGCAGTAGCCCTACCTATTATAATTGGTTTTGTTATACCTCTTTTTATAATCAATAATCAATTTGACCGGCTATCACTGCAGGAAAAAAGTGCTTATTACTTACCTGTCTTATAAAGAAGTCTCCATGGACCAGAGAAACAATTCCAAAGTTTGTGTACTTAAAAATATGATCCATCAACCACATCATCTGAGCAACAACCTAAAATATTGAAAAGCAAGAAATAATATTGGATAGAAGAAACCTGACTATAGTCAAGCCGAGTCTCCAAGCTTTAAATATAATCATCCAAGCATACTTTTAATTAACCAAAATATTTTAAATCTACCTCTATTTCTACAAACAAAGCACAGTTACTAACACTGTCTACATGAAAAATTACAGGTCTTGATTCCAAGTCTTTGAGTCCTAAGTCATAGGTACATATATCACTATGTAAAAAATGAAATTCAATTAACTTCTTAAATTTGGACTTAATGATTTCAAATTTGTTCTACCCCAAACAAAGTCTCTGGTAATTCTTACATAACTTGCAAAATATTTTGAAACAATACAACAAAATGGTTAAGTTATCAAAGAAGACTATATATTTAATGAACATTCACTTATAGCTTTACAGAATCTGAGTGTAGCTTCATGGCAAAGTATAAAAAGTTAGTGTCCAAAATAAAAACATTTAAAAATTAATATAATAGAATGATTTACATATTCTATTATGAAGAATATTTATTAGTGTATGCAAAATCATGCTCTTTGCCAGGATAAAAATATTTGTAGTGCCTTAGTCCTTAAATAGAAAAATATTATCCACTGCTGATAAGGGTTAATACCTATATCGAGGACAGAAGACTTTCTTCCATGCAAATTTAAAAATTAAAAGTACAGGTCAGGCACAGTGGCTCATGCCTGTAATCCCAGCACTCTGGGAGGCAGAGGCAGGTGGATCACTTGAGGTCAGGAGTTTGAGACCAGCTTGGCCAATATGGTGAAACCCCAGCCAGGTGTGGTGGTGCATGCCTGTAATCCCAGCTACTTGGGTGGTTGAGGCAGGAGAATTGCTTGAATCTGGGAGGCAGAGGTTGCAGTGAGCCAAGATTGAGCCACTGCACTCCAGCCTGGGTGACAGAGAGAGACTCCGTATCAAAAAAAAAAAATTTTTAAAAGTACAAACAGGATCTAATTAATGAATCAGTTAATTGTTCTTTCCCGCTGAGGAAATAGCATTCCTTGTTATAAGCCTTAACTGAAGTGAAAGCTGCAACCTCAATCAAGAATGCAGTAAGCTCTACTTTGGTTTCCCATGGGAACAATAGATGCAAACATCATCTCTAAGAACCAATTTATGTGAACCTACACATATGGAAAAAACTAAAACACTGATATCCATGTGCTGCTTTTATAAAAGCATTATAAAAGCCCACAGATGATATATATTACAGCTTCTGCCTTAGTTTTCCAGCTACACAACTCCTACTCCATCACCTTTACAATATTAAATCATTTTTTTAAATGAAGATATATGCCTAATAAAGAACTGATACCTCAAGCAATTAATATAGAGTAAGATAATCACCAGCATCCCATCTTGTTTCGCTTTAAAATGATGATTACAGTACTTTGTTTAAATAGACTGAGATTTGGACTAAATGAAATTTGTTGAAAAGTGTCCCCAAAACAAACAAAAAGCAGTGGATTCAACCTATAAAGCATTTTAGCTTTAGACACATTATGAATTGTAGTTGTAATTTATTGACTTCTGGGTTTTAAATGCCAAATAACTAGCTTTTATATTTAACTTTTCATTCACGATGGGTTTATCTCTTCAGTTAGAAGGGTCACTTAAAACATAAATTCAGTAAAGATAGCCAAACTATTTTCTGAGATTTGTAAGGATAGCTCTGTTCCAACTTATTTTAGGGGAAATGTTATAAGTCAATAAATGTTTATAAAACATTTAATAAAGTTCTTTTGACAGAAATAAAAATTCTTAGTTTTATCATAAATTGTCATAAAAGGCCAAGACAATTCACAGACACTTATTATAAAGGTGCCAGGCCAGGCACGATGGCTCACACCTGTAATCCCAGCACTTTGGGAGGCTGAGGCCGGCGGATCACTAGGTCAAGAGATTGAGACCACCCTGGTCAACATGGCAAAACCCCATCTCTACTAAAAAATACAAAAATCAGCCGGGCGTGGTGGCGGGCACCTGTAGTCCCAGCTACTTGGGAGACTGAGGCAGGAGAACCGCTTGAACCCGGGAGGCGGAGGTTGCAGTGAATTGAGATGGCACCACTGCACTCTAGCCTGGCAACACAGCAAGACTCCGTCTCAAAAAAAAAAAAAAAAAAAAGGACCAACACTTTCAGAAAATACAATTAATCCTTTGTTTCATATTCTTCAAAAGAAGGATGAGTAAACATAAGCTGCCTAAATCAACTCTGTCAATGTTTGGTAGGTCCGTCACTCAGAACTTTTTCATTATTTCTAAGAGACAAAATCAATCTATATCAATTATTCTTTATCTGAATGCACAGATTTTTTACATATCAGAACATCGTATAGAGACTTAAACAAATGACTGCACTCTTTTTTCCTTTTGAAATTATAATAAGGTCAATGGTTCTCCATTGGGTGAGTATGGAAACTGCAGGATAATTTTGGTCCTTGTGGACTAAGGAGTGCTACTAGCATTTACTGTGGACTAAGGAGTGCTACTAGCATTTACTGTGTGGCAGCTGGGTACACAAAACGTCTGGCAGTGCCCAGGACAGTTCTCAGCAACACTGTTGTCCTATTAAAATGCCAATAGTACTCCCACTGAGAAACTAATAGGGGCTTCAAGAAATCCACTGAATTCAAAAAGCTATGCTATAATTACATTACCATCAAAGTAATATTTTTTAACTGGCCCACAATAGCCTTCCTTCTTCGAATGTATCCATAAAGTATAAAATAAATCAAGTAAACATTCCTACTAGTGAATACAAATTAATATTGCTCTGTAATTATTAGGCAGCAGGGAGAGATTATAATGCTTCTACCCTTATATTTCTCAGTTATTCCTTTATAAAAGAAAGTAAAATATTCTTCTAGATTTCAAATTATTCAATATTATCAGAGCATTATTTAGAATGCTCAGTATTAACTAATCCGAAATGAAAAAACTACTTGGGACTTAAACATTTTTATAAAGGCAAACAAGCCAACCAAACTTTCTTTTGTCCACATGAGTGGGGAATTTTAAATTACCTAATATTCTGGTTAATACAGTTATCATCTATGCCAAACTGGTGTTAGAATACAGTTAGACATATTTATCTTGACCATTTTAATCACCCTTTGAGATTCAAAAAAACACTTAAGGACACTGTAGGCCCTCAGGATAATCACTATAAATGTAATGATCCTATCTGTAAGAGTAACAATGTTAACTAATTGGAGAGTCTCTTTTATAGAAAGCCAAATCAACTAGTTTTGCTCTATTCTATTCTATTCTATTCTATTCTATTCTATTCTATTCTATTCTATTCTATTCTATTCTATTCTATTCTATTCTGAGACGGAGTCTCGCTCTGTTGCCCAGGCTGGAGTGCAGTGGCCGGATCTCAGCTCACTGCAAGCTCCGCCTCCCGGGTTCACGCCATTCTCCTGCCTCAGCCTCCTAAGTAGCTGGGACTACAGGCACCTGCCACCGTGCCCGGCTAGTTTTTTGTATTTTTCAGTAGAGATGGGGTTTCACCGTGTTAGCCAGGATGGTCTCGATCTCCTGACCTCGTGATCCGCCCGTCGCGGCCTCCCAAAGTGCTGGGACTACAGGCGTGAGCCACCGTGCCCGGCCTAGTTTGGCAAAATTTTAATGTCATGAACTTAGGGGACAGGCAATAAATATTATTATAAATGCAAATATATCTACACAGTGATACTCTTTTAACAATTCAAGATCCTGAATATAAGAAAAGATTTAATGTATTCCACATTCCAGCAAGATTATGCCACTGCTTTTCAGATAGACAAGAAAAACAGATTCTACAATAATAAAACATATTTTTCTTTAATCTCCTCTCATTTTCTGACTCTACCCTAACCTAGTGAATCAAAACCTCTGAAACCTAAACACACTAGGGCTTATTCTCACTTTGATGTTTTTGCCAAGATTGCTTCATTAAGAAAGGAGTCCTTGCTTTACCACTCTACCTAACTAAACTCTACTCATCCTTCAAGGCCAAGTGTATGTCCTCTCCCCTTCATAAAGTTTTCCATGTCCATGAGGTACACGGTGCACTTACCCTCCACTGAAGCCATCTCATTTGGCAATTAAGTATTGTTTATGGCTCATGCCTATAATCCCAGCACTATGGGAGGCCAAGAGTGGGTGGATCACCTGAGATCAGGAGTTTGAGACCAGCAGCCTGGCCAACATGGCAAAACCCCGTCTCTACTAAAAATACAAAAAGTAGCCAGGCATGGTGCCCATGCCCACAGTGCCAGCTGCTTGGGAGGCTGAGGCACGAGAATTTCTTGAACCCAGGAGGCAGAAGCTGCAGCAAGCCAAGATTGCACCACTGCACTACAGCCTGGGCAACAGTGCAAAACTCCATCTCAAAAAAAAAAAAAAAAACATTGTTTGTGATACCCTTCTTCCACCTGCCACTAGGCTGTCAGCACCCTGATGAGAAGAATTGTATCTTATAGGATGGTATTTACACTTCGTATAGTCAGTGATCATAACTACTAAGCCCTTAATGAACTTCCATTGATTTGATTATTTACTATTACGTCACACATTAACTCCATTAATTTATACACTTTGTATTTATTTAGTTTTCTATGAACATAACCTCTTAAGGCTAAAGACTGAATTTATTTTTTAAATCCACTCAGTTTATAAATATTTATTCTATCATAAGCAATATTCCCCCAACCTTTTGTTTTAGAGATGGGGTCTTGCTGTGTTGCCCAGGCTGGAGTGCAGTGGCTCTTCACAGGCATGATCCCACTACTGATCAGCACAGGAGTTTTGGCCTGCTCCATTTCCAACCTGGGCTGGTTCACCCTTCTTGTGCAAGCTAGTTGTTCACTGCTCCCAGGAGATCACCATATTTATGCTCAACTTAGTGCAGACCACCTATCAGCGTAAAGAACTACAGCCCAAATTCCTGGGCTCAAGCGATCCTCCTGCCTCAGCCTCCCAAGTAGCTGGGACTACAGGCTGCACCACTGTGCCAGGCCGAAGCAGCTTTTTGTGTTTGTATTTTTCAAACTGGCAATCCACTGCTTCATCTCCAGATAGCCCTCAATTTGAACTATATTAACCTGCTTTCATCCCAGTTACTATTTTTTAAAACAGTCTTATTGAAATATAATTCACAGGCCGAGACGGGCAGATCACGAGCTCAGGAGATCCAGACCATTCTGGCTAACCCAGTGAAACCCCGTCTCTACTAAAAAATACAAAAAAACTAGCCAAGCGGGGTGGCGGGCGCCTGTAGTCCCAGCTACTCGGGAGGCTGAGGCAGGAGAATGGTGTAAACCTGGGAGGTGGAGCTTGCAGTGAGCTGAGATCCGGCCACTGCACTCCAGCCTGGGCAACAAAGCGAGACTCCGCCTCAAAAAAAAAAAAAAAACAAAAAAGAAAGAAATATAATTCACATTGTCCCAGTTTTTTTTTTAAGTCTCTACATCCCACTTCTGGGTGACTTAGAATGATATATTTTTCCTTTTAAAATTTAATATTTTCTAAACTTTTATTGAAAGTAGTATACATACTAAAGTCTATGTCTATATTTCAAAGCACAGTAAGATACTTGAATGGATTCCCTTTTTTTTTTTTTTCTTGAGATGGAGTCTTGCTCTGTCTCCAGGCTGGAGTGCAGTGGCATGATCTCGGCTCACTGCAATCTCCACCTCCCTGGTTCAAGTGATTCTCCTGCCTCAGCCTCCTGAGTAACTGGGACTACAGGCACGCACCACCACACCCAGCTAATTTCTATATTTTTAGTAGAGTTGGGGTTTCATCATGTTGTCCTGGATGGCCTCAGTCTCTTGACCTCGTGATCTGCCCACCTCAGCCTCCCAAAATGCTGGGATTACAGATGTGAGCCACCATGCCCGGCCGAATGGATTCCTTTTAACCTTCCTTTCTGGATGTCTACCTACTGCCTTCAGGGTAGCTTACCAGTCCTTTGTCCTGGAGGCACATCATCAGTGTGCACACATCTCCTGTTGCCTGATGATTCACCAACATCACTGCTTCATCTTTTGAAACTGCTTTAATATCTTCTCCCCATTCCATCACTGTAAGAATAAAAAGTTTCAAAGCTGTCATATTAAAGATTTTTATAATATCACAAACCTTATATTAGAAAAACTGATGTATATTAATGATATGTCACCTAGCTAAAACATCCAAAAGTTTACAACTAAGTTTATTTCCTATGCAAATCAGAATGTTAATATAACTTTTATAGAGCCCCCAAATAATCTCTCTCCTTCCTTCCTTCCTTCCTTCCTCCCTCCCTCCCTCCCTCCCTTCCTTCCTTCTTTTTGAGACAGTCTAGCTCTGTCACCCAGGCTGGAGTGTAGTGGTACGATCTTGGTTCACTGTAACCTCCACCTCCCGGGTTCAAGCAATTCTCCTGCCTCAGCCTCCAAGTAGCTGGGATTACAGGTGCAAACCACCACGCCCAGCTAATTTTTGTATTTTTAGTAGAGACGGGGTTTCACCATGTTGCCCAGGCTGGTCTCAAACTCTTGACCTCAAGTGATCCACCTGCCTTGGCCTCCCAAAGCGCTGAGATTACAGGCATGAGCCACCATGCCCAGCTATGGTCATACCTTTGATCTAGAAGTTCTATTTCCTAGAATTTATCCTACAGAAACTTTTGTTCAAATAAGCAAAGATATATGTATAAAGAATGTTTATCACAACTTAAATGTTCACCAACAAGGGAATGGACAAGAAAATTATGATGTAATAGGAGAGTATAAACCCATTAAAATAATGGAGGATACCTCTTATTCACTAACCCAAAAAAGACATATTATCAACTAAACAAAGCCAAATCACCAAACAGTAAATATAGCATGATCCCATCTTTTTAAAGCAGGAATACCATCTATGTGTTGTTCAATGCACTGAAAAGTCTAGAAAAACAAATTTCAAACTGTTAATACTGATCATCAATGACAGGTGGTTCCCAACCCTTCAGATTCTATTTTTATAAGAAAATATTCAGACATAATAATACATACTTTCACCTTAAAAAAAGAAAACTAATAAAAATGCCAAATTATTTGAAGTTATCAGATGAAAAGTCACTGCACCAAAATCCATCGGTACATTCTAAGGGAAACATTGGTATTTCTATGTAGTTATGCCTCATTTCGTTTTTTATTTATTTTTAATTTTTTTGAGACAGGATCTTGCTCTGTTACCTTGGCTGGAGTGCAATGGTGCAATCACGGCTCACTGCAGCTTCAAGCTCCCTGGGCTCAGTGACCCTCCTACCTCAGCCTCCTGAGTAGCTGGGACTACAGGTGTGTGTCACCACGTCCAGCTAATTTTTGTATTTTTTTTGTAGACACAGGGTTTTGACATGTTGCCCAGGCTGATCTCAAACTTCTGGGCTCAAGCAATCTACCAGCCTCAGCCTCTCAAGGTATTGGCATTACAAGCATGAGCCACCGCACTCGGCCACCTCATTTTGCAGTAAATTTATTTCAAGCCTCAGTTTTCAAACATCAGAATTCTGCAAAGAAGCTTCTAGCATTTTTTGATATGAATTACCAAAGGTTGATTCTATATTAGTATTCACTTTTACCCTATCTTTATCTCACTCACTGCTACAAGGAAAGAAGTCAAGCCACCTGTGTGTAAAAGCTCTGGATGAAATAGGGATAGGGAGACCTATTTAGAGCCAATTTTGCACTATATTTCAAAATTAACAAATGCACAAACCTTTTTACCTAGGAATTCTACTTCTAGAAATGCATCCTACAGATACACTCATTTATGTGCAAAATGACATGTACACAAGGCTACTCACTGCAGCTTTGATTGTAAAAGCAAAGATGAAAACAACTAGAAAGAGAGGCTAACTCAAATTCATGAAAACAGTAGAAAGGTGGTTGCCAGGGGCTGGGGGGAGGGGGAAATTGTTGTTTAATGAGTACAGTGTTTCAGTTTTACAAGATGGAAAAGTTTTAGATATTGGTTTCAAAACAATGTGAATATACTTAACAAGACTGAAAAATTAAGTACATTTGAAAAATTAAGATGAATTTTTAAAATTCAGGTGAATTTCATGTTAGCATATTTTACCACAATTAAAAACATTTTTAAGGGAGACCAGCTAAGTAAATTATATCTATGAAATGGAATATTATGCAAACATAGCACTTATGTACTAATATGAAATGATATACTTTAAGTAATAAAAGCAAAGTGTAGAATAGGATGAGGGATGCCATTAGTCGTGGTTTTTTTGTTTTGTTCTTGAGATGGAGTTTTGCTCTTATTGCCCAGGCTGGAGTGCAATGGCGTGATCTCGGCTCACCGCAACATCCAACTCCTGGGTTCAAGCAATTCTCCTGCCTCAGCCTCCCGAGTAGCTGGGATTACAGGCATGCGCCACCATGCCCAGTTAATTTTGTAGTTTTAGTAGAGACGGGGTTTTTGTTGGTCAGGCTGGTCTCGAACTCCCAACCTCAGGTGATCCACCCACCTCGGCCTCCCAAAGTGCTGGGACTACCGGCCTGAGCCACCACACCCAGCCTAGTTATGTTTTTAAAAAGGACAGAGAATATACTAACCAAATGAAAACTCCCCATATGCCCCTCTTGACAACCCTCCAATGGAGACACACGGACATACGAACACACAAACACACACACACACGCGCACAACATTCTTTCATCAATACATTCTTCATTCAATAAATCAGCATCAGGCACGGTTAGGTATTGTGGATATAAAATAAATAAAAACATTTCAAGTATTATTCTAAAGTGAACAGCAGTTAAAACTCAAGAAAGACTAGCTTGGTTCTATAAATAGCGGGTAATGTGGAAAGTTTTCTGGCTCTCCATCTGTATTAATAGATGTCTCATAACCAAATAGTCCTTTAACACAGTCTGTGCTGCATGAGTGGAAAATACTAGATACCTAGGCCCATGCAGTGGGAAGGCATATATGTCAATATAACTGCAAATAAGAATAAGATTTTACATAAAATATATCTTATCTGTTTGCTTTATATAAAGCAGATAAATCTAGTAAGTGTGACTGGTTTAAATATGAAAATATAAATTGAATTTGGATCTCTCTGTACTGGGTTGAACAGTATACTCTAAAAATTCATGTCTACCCAGAATCTGTGAATCAAGATGAGGTCATACTGGATTAGGGTGGGACCTAAACCTAAATCCAGTAAGACTGGAGTCCTTATAAGAAGAGGAAAATGTGGTCAGAGAGACACACAGGGAGACCACCATGTGATGACAGAGGCAGAGATTCAAGTGACGCACCTACAAGCCGAGGGACACCAAGGATGGTGGACAACCACCAGAAGAAGCTGGAAGAGGCAAGGGAGGAGCCTCCCCAAGAGTCTTTCGAGAGAGCATGGCCCTGCTGACACCTTGATTTCAAGACTTCTAACTTCCAGAACTGTGAAAGAATAAATATCTGCTGTAAAATCCAGTTTGTGGTAATTTGTTATGGCAGCCCTAAGGAATTAATATAATCCCTCCCTCAATTTTTCCCATCCTCTCTTTCCCCTTTCCATTCTATTTTCCCCAAAATTATAGTCTTTCTTATCAAGTATAGGAAAAGAATTGCATTATACTTTTAATACTGAGAACATTATATATAATCTAACATTATGTATTATAAATGGTTTTTAATGTTCACTTTTAAATACTTTCAGAAATTATACTTTAAAGTATAATTATTAAGAGTTAATCCACTACATGTTTTATCTCTCAACCAGAACTTAGTCAAAATTTATTTTCAGACCAAATGTCAGTTTACCAAGACTCACATAGCATGCTAAATCAAAAAAGTGAAGGTGGTCAGGTGTGGTGGCTCATGCCTGTAATCCCAGCACTTTAGGAGGCCAAGGTGGGTGGATCACTTGAGGTCAGGAGTTCGGGACCAGCCTGGCCAACATGATGAAACTCTGTCTCTACTAAAAAATACAAAAATTAGCAGGTGTGGTGGCATATGTCTGTAATCACAGCTACTTGGGAGGCTGAGGCACAAGAATTGTTTGAACCTGGGAGGCAAAGGTTACAGTGAGCCGAGATTGAGCCACTGCACTCCAGCCTGGATGACAAAGTGAGACTCTGTCTCGAAAAACAAAACAAAACAAAACAAAATGAAGGTACTTAGATCAACTCTTCTTTTTTTCTTTCTTTCTGTGTGTGTTTTTTTTTTTAGTCAGGAACTCCTCGGCTCAAGCAATCCTCCTGTCTCAGCCTCCCAAAGTGCTGGGATGACAAGCATGAGCCACCACACCCAGTTCGGATCAACGTTTTACTAAGAAATTATCCTGAGGTAGCAATAAGGTCATGTTGAATTTTATAATAATCCTAATTTTATTCAATAACAAATTTAATTTCCAATATATATGGTATTCTTTTAGAGCATCATTTAAGGACAACTGTTAGAAAGTTAAATCACCAACAAAATCAAGATTAAAATGAGCAATTTATTACACAGATGAAGTAGTTACGCTCCTCAGATTATGCCCTGCTATCCCAGGACCAGTAAATAGAGTAATAAAGCTAATATCTTAACCAAGGGATAGAAAAGAAGCTATGGATGCCTGCCAGTTCTTACACTGCACTTGACTGGAAGAACAAAAATATTCTAACATGCTGCTCTATGAAATGAATTCTCAAAAAAGAATTGGGTCAGGTCTACTATTTCCAAAGGGAAAAAGGACAACTGAATAAAAACTGGAGGAAAAATTTTCTAATTGTAATAAATTTTAAAATTGTTATTGAAAACCAAAGCTAAGGGTTATCATCTACTACATACACACACAACACACGCACACACACACTCACACTCTCTAACATGTATATCAATATACTTTTCCCAAAAGTTACAGATTAGAATTAATCTGGACAGTTCACATCTCAAAAAGAAAACAGAAGCAACAACCCATCAAAAACTCCTTAAAACAGTGACACTAAAGCCATTTATACTGGCCCACAAAACAGAATTAACGGAGAGAAGAAAGGTTGCTTATTATGCCCACAAGCTGATGCAACAAACTATTCTATCCTTCTGT